ACTACTACTACTACTACTACTACTACTACTACTACTACTGCGACTACTACTACTACTACTACTACTACTACTACTACTACCACTACTACCACTACTACCACTACTACTATACTACTACAAATACTACTACTATTACTACTACTACTACTAATCATAATACGACTACTACTACTACTACTACTACTACTACTACTACTACTACTACTACTACTACTACTACTACTACTAGCAGTACTGCGACTACGATTACGACTACCACAACTACGACTACGACATCTACGACTACTAATGAACTACTACATACAACGACTACACTGGATAACTTACTACTGCTACTACTACTACTACTTACTAATACTTACTACTGATAACTCGACTACGACGACGTACTACTGACTACTAGCACTACTTACCCCTAATACTACTAACTCTACTACTACTACTACTACTACCACTACTACTACCACTACTACTACTACTACTACTACTACTACCACTACTACTACTACTACTACTACTACTACTACCACTACTGCGACTACGACTACGACTACGAACGACTACGACGACGACTACTACTACTACTACTACTACTACTACTACTACTACTACTACTACTAGTACTACTGCTACTACTACTACTACTACTACTACTACTACTACTACTACTACTACTACTACTACTACTATTCCTACTACTACTACTACTACTACTACTACTACTACTACTACTACTACTACTTCTACGATCACTACTACTACGACTACTACGACTACTACGACTACGACTACTACGACTACTACTACTACTACTACTACTACTACTATTTGTTACTTTACTTTTTTACTTTCAGCGCGGTACTGCAATGTCTGAGCACGCGCAGGGCAGAAGCACAGGGACAGCAAAATCTGGGCAAACTGTGGCAACAGCTTGAATTTGCCACATCCTTCGTGCCCCGACAGTGCCTACCACGAGTAATCGGAAGATACGATACATAACATATAAAATCGTCAGAACAGCTACTGCACGTCCAGCAAGCGGGCCAGGGAGAGAATTTGAAGACGATCGGTATCCATAGGCTGCCAAAGCTCAGGATTGAAGTGCGCCGTAGCAGGGTCCTGCAAAGCATCACCTAGATAAGCGACGGCCCACACGCAGGCTTCCAGTTCAGCCGCCGTCACCGCAGCACCAAAACGTAATCAAAAACTCAGATCGGCAATATTGCTCCATTCTTCCCGGGCGTCCGCGGTGATGCGCCGAGTATCATGGAGCACCCAGCCTCAGCCAGAGCCGCCGTCAGAGACGCTGCGACTACGACCACTACTACTACTACTACTACTACTACTACTACTACTACTACTACTACTACTACTACTACTACTACTACCTACTACTACTACTACTATTACTACTACTACTACTACTACTACTACTACTACTACTACTACTACTAACAAAGACTAACGTATTAGTACTACGACAAACTACTACTACCAATACTACTACTAACTACTACTACTACAACTACTGCGCTACTGCTATACAGGCCACCACTCACGCATCCACCAGGATATACAACTACGAACGAGCTACTAACTCCTCTACTAACCGAGACGACTACACGGACGACTACTACTACCTACTAACTACCACTACTACTACTAATAATACTACTACTACTACTACTACTACTACTACTACTACTACTACTACTACTACTACTACTACTACTACTACTACTACTACTAACCACTACTACTAACTACTACTACTACTACTACTACTACTACTACTGCTGCTACTACTACTACTACTACTACTACTACTACTACTACTACTACTACTACTACTACTACTACTACGACTACACTGCATCTGCGACCGACTACTACTACTACTACTACTACTACTACTACGGCTACTAATACGACTACTACTATTACGACTACTACTACTACTACTACTACTACTACTACTACTACTACTACGTCCACTCCCACCACTACTACTACTACTACGACGACGACGAAGACTACTACTACTACGAATACCACTACTACCACCACCAACACTAATACTACTACTACTACTACTACTACTACTACTACTACGACTACTACTACTACCACTACTACTACTACTAGTACTACTACC